GCAGTGCTGGTTCTATCCCCCGCCACCAGCGAGGGTCCCAAATGGCGCGCAGACCGCTCCTGCCATGCCCGCTGCTCCCCTTAGCAGTGTATTTTGTCACTCTGCCTGTTCTGTTCCCCGCTCTGGCTCTGGTGAATTCTCTCACCCTCTTGCACTCCTGACTGCATCCAGTGTTTGTATAAATAAATAAATAAATCTTTAAAAAAAATTAAAAAAAAAATTCTTGGCATGGCCTGCAAAACACTGCTAGATTTTCCTTGCCTACCTATACCATATCTCTAAAGTATATACTTTCTTCTGAATTGTGAATTTTGGCCATATTGACCCCACTATGAATCCACTATGCAAAGTGTGCTCTTGCTTCAGGTTATTTGGATGTGATTCCTTTTCTCCCATCCAAGTACTAACCAGGCCCGACCCTGCTTAGCTTCCGAGATCAGGCGAGATCGGGCGCGTTTAGGGTGGTATGGCCGTAGACGGATGTGATTCCTTTTCTGACTGGAACTCTGCTCTTTCCTTGTCTGATTAACTTTAATTCTTCAGAATTCAGTTCAAAGGATTCTTTCTAGTGACTCCCAACATAAATGAGGTCCTCTGACATAGGTTATCACTGTTCTGGTGCTTTTCCTTCACAGACCTTCTCATACATTGTGATGATGGATTTGTGTGGCAATTTGATCAGTGTCTGCCTCTACCCCTAGATCGTAAGCTACATAAAGACATTGTCTAGAGATATTTCACTCACCACTGTATGCCATTGGCCTGGTACAAGTGGACTAAATAAGTATTTGTTGAAAAAAATGACGAATCTCCTTAACTACCAACAAAAATGACTACCACTTATGGAAGTCTATGCACCAGTTTCTGTTGTAGTAAATGTTGCACATATTTTAATTAATCTGCACATCACTCCACAAATTTTACCTAAATCTCAAACATAAACACTTCATTCATCAATCATTTGATATAAGATCAAGGGGTTTTCTTTGATTTTAAGTCCACTGACCAGAATTCCCAGTCTTTTTTCATAAACTACACTTATAATGTCTTATTATGACTATAAAATATCTACAATGTAAGAATACCTGCAAAGCAATTTGAATGTAGAATCCTTCTAGATTTTTACAACTTCCCCGACACCCATTTTTCTAATTACATCATCAACTAATTTGACAATGCTTTTAAAGTGACAGATCTTTTTACTTTTTGCATTCATCTCTCACTGGCATAGAAACTATTTATTTTTGTTATTGAAATAAGTAAAAATAAAATTAAGTAAAAATATGCTTAAAAACAAATACAATTGTGTCTTTTACGACAAGTTGGTCAAAAGGGCATTATCTTGTATAGTCTGTAAACTGTGCTTCCAGTGTAATTGTGTACCATTCAGGACATTTTAGGGAGAATGGAGAGTCAGCATGAATCTGGAGAGTTGGTTAAGTGGAGCTGGGTAGGGGAGCTTCTAGTCTATTATTTCTATTTTATAATAGAGAAAATTTATTCTCAGGAGAGTTTGCAACTTTCCCAAGGTCACCAAGTTAGTAAGTAGTGGACAATTTGGATGAAAATTTGGGTCTATCTGACTCCAAAGATAGTGCTCTGAATATGTGAATCTCTTTTGCTATTGGATGGTAAATCCTTTGATGGAAACCATGGCTAATTTCTTACACAGTTGTGGGAAAATATGATAGTCACCCAAAAGTTACTAATTATTTTTGATTTCTTGTTGAAGCAGGGGCCTTTTTCCAGTACCTGCTATGGCTGTCAATCATCATATGGTGTGAGGATGGGCCTTGTGTCCTTCTATTAGACTGTGACCTATTGAAAGGCAAATGAAGATGTTTGCGTGTGTGGTAATTTATAGCAGTCCCTAAGGAATACTGAGTAATCAATATATGCTTATTTATTGGACAGATACATAAATTTAGATGGAAATAAAATCAATCAGGCTCCTGAGTAGGATTTTTATACTCCTGTTCTTTTAACCTTCCTGGTACTGTTGGTTACCTACCAGTGTTTCTGCTTGTTCTACAAAATTCATTTAAGAAGTTTCTCTTTATTACTTTTTATTTTTTCCTAAGTGATTCAACATGTTCTGAAATTATACTTTTAGAAATGGATTAACTGAAATGAGATTTATTACTTGATGTGCAAGACAAATAACATATTTCTTGTTCCAGAATGGATTGTGAAATTTTATTCAAGATGGGTGGTTGACCATACTCATTTATTTTTATCTCTAAAAAGCCCTATTAAAATTATTGTAAGAGTCTAAAAGATGATTAATAACAAAATCAAAATCAAAAAGAACAGTCAAGTGCATCATCAGCAAAGGAGAGAATTCAACAAATTTCTGGATGACAGAAACTGGATGGAGTATTGCTGGGAAAAGGAATATTGTATTTAAGAATTTGTAGAACTCTGGGTGGGGAAGATTGCAACTCAGACATACCAATATTTTAAAAAAGACTTTTAAATTTTATTTATTTTTGTATAGAAGAGCTGGGTGTAGGTCAGAGGTGCAGGGAGTGAGAGTATTCACAAGAGACAGAGTGGGGAGCATAGCAGGGAGATTTACTGTAATACACTGCTAAGGGGAGCAGCGGGTTTGACAGGAGAGGTCTGCTGCACCATGTGGGGATTATTTCCCTGGTCAGGGATTGAACTCAGGTTGTAGTGGTGGTAGTGCTGAGACTGAACCACTAGGCCACCGGGGAAGCCCTCAGAAATATCAATTTTGAAGAAGGCCAAGAATGATTCACTGGGCTAAAACCAAGAGGATTGAGAGTCTGTATATGAAGAGTCTGTGTTACTCCAGCTTGTATGCAAAACATGTGATGGTGAGTAATATGCTGTCAAATAAACAAATCAAAATATGCTGCTACAAGCAAATTGAACAATTGAAAAACAGGTCAGTAAAAATGAGCCTTTCTTCTTAGAAATAATTCTGGAATTAGCAGTTCTCTAGATTAAGGCCAGTTCTCTATCTCTTAGTAATGTCTGGAAAATATGTTCATATCTAACCACAAGGCAGTGTTTCTGAGGTTGAAATGTTTTCACAACTTCCTTTTCTGTTAAAGAATAAAAAGAATATAAACAATTGCTCAGTTGATTTCCAAGAGTTTTCCCACCAGTATCTGAAGAGATTACCGCATGGGTACACTTCTAGATACAAGAACTGGGACACAACAATGCCTCCTTCCTTGGTATTTGTCCTTTTATCAAGTGTGCTACTTGCACATCCTATGCTTTAGCAACAGTGTAAACTTTCCAAGGAGTCTGTCCTAGGCCATACTATCTCAGAGTTACTTAAACTGGCCCTTTTTAAACTCCTTTTCCACCTTATTTTTTCCTAACCTTCTTAGCATGATGCTATGTATGTTTTTGTTCATCATCTCTCTTTTCTACAAGAATCTATGCACAATTGGTGCAAAAATATTGTGTTTTTTGCTCTCTCTGTTGAGCTTAAAACAAAACTGCCACATATTAGGTGCTCAATAAAATTTGTTAAATGAATGCTAGATGTTCTGTGTTGAAAATAATTGGACAGGAAAGTTAGGAAAGTTGTTATAGCAAATGTTTCTGAGCTAGGTCTTGAAGACTGCAGAGAAATTTGTCAATAGGGAAGTTTGGAAATAACCAAATGGGAGGGGGAAATGCCACTTCCTATGTTAAGATCCAGGGAAGAATTCTGTCATGTAGTCCTTTAAAGTGATAGGTAGCCGTGAAGTGAAAATAATGGTCACTGCATAGCTGAGGTGGTTTTAATAACATTTGCTAAAATTTGTTGAGGTTGTATTTTGAACAAGTCACCTTGGTAAATTTCATCCTCAAAACAACAAGTTAAGATTTCCTTACTAGTTGAAATACTACCTGGCATATACAGAATGCTAGGGAGATTAAGTAACTTGCTCAAAGTCACATAGCTAATATGTGGATTTGAACTGTTTCCCTGGCTTAAGAGTCTAAAGTCAGTACCGTTCAATAAAAATATAATGTGAACCAGAAAAGTAATCAATAAATTTTTAGTGAATACCTTAAAAAAAATACAAGTGAAATTAATTTGAATGATATATTTTATTTAACCAATATATATTCAATTTATTATTTTAACATGTAATCAACATAAATTGTTGAGTCAATCTGCATTCCTCCTTTCATACTTTCTTTGAAATATGATATATATTTGTAATTAAATTACACTTCAACTTGCTCAATAGCTACATTTTAAGTGTACAGTGGACATAAGTCACAATGGACAGCACAGGTCTAAAGTGTTAACATAATCCCTAGATGTTGTATTATATTGATCCGTAATTGGACAGTGTAAAAAATGGAAGCACCAAAATTTCACCTTTTTCCTGAGAAACTGCAGGTATAACATTTTGCTATCAATGTCCTCAGTTTTAGTTACAGAAACCACGTTAAGTCTATTTCCATGTGTCATGTCTAGGACATCCCTATTTAACTGTGTTTTTTCTTTAACATGTGTTCATAAGAGACAAGGTTGGGATGACTACAAGAAGCAAACAATGCTGTCTAGTAAATGCTGCTAATATGATCAGTGTTCTGTCTCCAATAAGGCATCTGAGGGCAGGGTCTTGCCACTAGATCTTTAGGGACTAACACATAATAGTTGTACGGATGAATTTGCTGGATGTTAAATGAATATTTCCAAAATAGACCTTGGTAATTACTTCTTTTTTTTTTGGCCAATTATTTGGAGTCATAATAACTATAAGAGTTGCTAAAAGGTTTTACCTGTAAAATTATTTATTAACTCTGACATGGATTTCAGGACCCAATAGGATCAGAATAGTAACAGTGTATAAGCAAACTTGCTATTTCTCTTGAGTTATCAGTATTGAAAAATGGAAAGTTTTTAGAACATTTTTGAAACATTTTAAAAAAAGACCTAGATGCTTATTAACAGAAATATTATTTATTCTGCAACATGACTCATAAAGTTCATGGTCTTTTTTTACTTTGTGTTACCCTAGTTTGAAGACTGTCCTTTGCACAATCACCAAGACTGGGATCTTCACGAAACAATGGATGTGGGCTGTTTGGACCTTGCCTACTATTGGCATTTTGTTGTTTATCATCATCTAACAAATATGACTCTCAGGTGGGGATATGCTGCTGGTAGGAACAAACGATTTCTGGAGTGAGTTTTTACTCTGATTTTTTGCTGCTTATATACTTACTGGAAGTATAAATTTAACCTTGTAGACTTCTATTTGATAGTTCAGACACGTTCCCTATACATCCCCAAATGTCAGTTGTTCTCTCTGTAAAACTTGCAATGGAATTTTTACTGGCACACTGTGTAGATTCAACCTTTTTGATTTTTCCTCCGATCTCTATCAGCAAAATGAGGTTTGGGATTTGATGGGGTCATGTCAGAATCAAATTCCCTTAATTCTCATTCTAACACAATGTTCTATCTAGTTGAAAGGTCTTCTGTTCTCTTGACACTTATTTCTTCAACATGGGATGTTTCAGAGAAGGAGGTATTAGAGTCTTGGGTTTTAAACATCAATCTGAGCTCTGGCAGTGATAGCTGATACTGTTTCTCTCTCACTGTTGTGGATTCTTAATGATAGTAGATGAGTTAGAAGTTATAATTCTTGACTGTCTAGATCTAAAATAAACACTAAATTTCAATAATTGGTTATATGCCCACATTTTATCTCATATTTTCAGCCAATATTTAACTTGTTTCATCTTAAAAAACATTTTCATAGTAGCAAAATTATTAGCAAATAGCAAAACTATTAGATATTTATAGTTCTATGATTCTCTAAGGAACAATACTAATGCAACTCCAATAATTTTTGGGCTATTTTAGTGCCTTTGTTCCTGGTTTGGGGGACATATTTTTATTCTTTGGGGCTCTGGAAAGGATCTGAATTTCTCTCTCTCTAATGACTTTATTGGCAAAAGTAAGCTTGTATCTATAATGTTTGGACATTTAGGAATAGAGCTAAGTTATGTGATTTCCTTCTCCTAAGTCATAAACCACAAATGGTGTTGAAATTATTTGTTATGGAAGCAAAGTTTCATAATCCCAAAATATCTGGCTTTTATTGTCCTGTAACAAGTGGTGCTTAGATAATGGTAGGGCTGTGTGGAATGAACAGAAATCTGGCTCTGGAATTGAGACCAAAATGAACAAGAGTTTACAGATATGAAACACAGCTGAGATGTTCAATTCCATCTTTTTTATTTGTGTCCTCCCAGGATGTTTGTAAGACCTTACAAAAATAAAGCATGTCCCTTGTTTTGCACTGATAAAGATGGACAGATGGACAGTGGGATTGTAACAGGGTGGTCCCCAGGAAAGGGCGAGGTTCCATGTTCCCTGCCCCACCCAAGGGTGGAGCTGAGCAGGGAGGAGAAGAAGCTGGAGAGGAGACTGAAGAAGAAAGGAAACAAGATTCAAGGAGACCCAGAGGGAGACCTGGAAGAGGCACCTGGAGCAGAGACATGTGAAGAAACTGCACTTGTTTCTTGGCCTTAGATTGGTTGAAACAGTTGTGGGTGAGAGACCCTTGGGGAGGTTAACAATGACAGCTTTTATCTTGACTTTGCTTTTACTCTTTTCCTCCCAGACTTGTCTGGCTGTTTCTGACCCATTTCTATCAGTCCCCAATGGAACATGCCTTAAACTTGTGGCAGAAAAATCTTAAAGGTTGATCTATGTTATTCTTCTATACTTCCTACAATTATTTTATTTGTTTTAGTTCTTATTGATGTATTAGGTAACAATGTGCTCTGTGTTTTTTCTGGTGTTATTTTGTTGTTATAAGAGTTTCCTCCTTTTTCCCCTTCCCTCCCTCCATCCTTTTCTTCTTTCCTATATTTCCTCCCTCCCCTCTCTCCATTCCTTTCTCCTTCACTTCTTTCCTATACTCTTCCTCCCTCCTTGCCTCCTTTGCTTCTTTCCTTTGTAATAACAACATTGGATAAAAATTAATCAAGATGGGGCTACCCACTTGGGAACCCTCTCTGCTCAGAGAGCTTTCCTGTCCTTCTTTCTGCTAATCAATAAATCTCTTGCTTTGCTGCCTAAAAAAAAAAATTCATCATGATGCATTTTTGTGCTCATTTTTAAATGAAACCAGTTTTCTTATATTTTTAAGCAGTTGACCATGTTATCTCATCTAGCTTCATCGCTGTTCTTTTGGTAGTGTAGTTATACCTCACAAATCACCTTATGAATAAATACACAGCTTCTTGGATTTCTTAGACCACACCTAAAATCATTCTGTACTTTTTAAAAATCTCCTTGTGAATCAAAGACTACTGCTTCTGTAGTAGAGGGCAGATAGCAGAACAGATGATCTGGAGTTTTCCTCAAGGTTGGAGGCCTCTGAATCTGCTTAAGTCTGATAAGCTGGTTTATCTAAATTTTATTGCATTTGAGCTTTATCTCTGAGCCAGTTCTAAGGAATTTTAGAAGGCAGAAATGGGAGTTTAGGATTATCCTATTTCTGTGTTAAAAATATTTACCAAACTAGAAAATTAATGTCTTTACTCTATGAGATTCTTAGCCTCTTGAAATCACCATGTTTTTAAAATAACCAGCACTTAATCCTTTATTAGGACTGAAAATTACAAAGTTCTTCACTATGAAGGTATTTGCTGATCTGCTTTCAAGATAAGCCTTAAGTTATAAGCTAATTACATACATGTGGAAAGAAATCATAGTTGAATAATGATCAATTTTTCACTATCAGAGAAGAGATTTGGAATTTATGCTGAATTTCTAAAGTGAATTTTATATGTATATGGGTATAAAAACAGTGAACATTTCTTTGTTGAACTGCTGACATATAAATCTGGGGCATATCCTACTTAAAGAAGGTGTTCCATAATAAAATATAGGACTTGAGCTATTAAAAACATCAACAATGCCCTACTATTGTTGAAAGTTTCATTTGCTCAGGACAGGATAATTGATGGGATCTGAAAAATCACAACCATGACTGACACTTTCAGTTGTTTTGGTTCAATTATTAATTACTGTAAATGTCATTTAGATTTTTTTGTGCATTTCCTCTCAATAGGCAAAAGCTTTTGATCTCTATTCCATGTGGAATATCACAGAAAGGAAGAAATAAAAAGTGGTAAAGTGTTGACAGAAAGTGGAAATAATAAAAATATTTCCTTCTATTTATTTTAAATACTTGAATTCATATATAACAAGATTTGTTTCTTTGAAGATTAGAAAATGACAACACAATGATATACAAATAGATAGTTCCATTCAGTGTATTTTATAGAATTTTTCTTTAGTATATAAAACAGTTTCTAACTTGATCCACACATACCTTAGTCATATGATTCTATGGCCCTGTTATTTCTTGGAATAGAGACTAGAGAGAAGCCCATAAAGTTTGGACATTTATGGTAATTAATAATTGAACCAAAACAACTAAAATGTCATTTATGCTTGTGATTTTTTAAATCCCATCAATTATTCTGTCCTGAGTAAATAAAATGTTCAACAATAGTAGAATAATGTTGTTGTTTTTAATAGCTCTGACTCTTACATTTTATTATGGAACAACCCATGAGTATGACTGATGGTCTGTATAATATTGTCACCTCCCAGCAACACTAGAAGGAACACCTCAGTGAAAGGAGAGAAGCAAGGGCACTAATGAAGAGTCCACCATTAGGGGAAAGATTGGGCCCCTCTCTTGAGATTGCCATCAGCTTTGCGATTTCAGAAGTAGAATTTTCTTCTTTTAAAAATTGTGGGTATTTTTTTTTTGCCTACCTGGTGGAACAGGGGTCAAAGTCTCTGCACTACCAAGCTATCACAGCCACTGCGGCATGCTTTTGATCCATGGCCTGGAGATCCACCTGTTTTGCTCCCCACTCTGTCTTTCATCCCCTGCACCTCTGGTCTAGACCCCAGTTCTTGTATGCATAAATAAAATAAAATAAATTTTTAAAAATTGTGTTATTTTTAATTAAGATAATGTTGTCTTATACACTGTATGCGATTTAGGGGTATAAGTGCACACTTTTTTGCATGTATGTTACCATACAATATCCACCACCAAACCACCAATATTTCTTTACCAAAGTAGAATCTTTTTTCATTCTGTACTAGCATGCTACCTCATATATCAAGTAGGCACTCAATGAATAAATGAATCAAAATCTTGCTCAATCAGGATAAAATTCAAATATTGCTTCCTTTATGAAGTCTAATTTGACACCTAGTCAGAAACAATCTCTGATTCTTACTTTCTCTCATGACACATGGAGTCCTGACATCAGACATGTTTCCTGGTGTTGACTAAATATAAGAGGCCCTAAGTTCTTTACCAGAGGGTGAGGTGGTGAGAAATTGTATTTCCAGTTGGTGGTCATGTCTATGCATTGCATCCCAAACACTCTTCTTACAGTATGATTGACACTCCTTCTACCAAGATATGGGGTTGTTGTGATTATATTCCTTCTCTTGAATCAGCACAGGGTTTGTGATTATATTTCAACTCCCCCAGTGGAATATGGCTGAAGGGATTCCCATGACTTCTGAGGCTAAGCCATAGAAGGGAGAGAGTTCCTCTTTTCCCCACTCCTTTCCTAGAATTGAAAGCTGATTTGCAAGGAGATCTAGGATAGTGCTTGATCTATGACTAATGGGTTACAACCACCAGACATGATTGTTGTGAAAGAAACTTCACATGGGCCTCCCCTGGTGGTGCAGGTGGTTGAGCACAGTGCTGTGAAGCTGTCCGCAGCCTCTGCAGCGCCGGTTCAATCCCGGCTGTCAGGCAAGGGTCCCACATGGCGAAGCAGACCTTTCCTGTCTGGCCCGCTGCTCCCCTCAGCAGTGTACTTCGTCAGTCTGCCTGTTCTGTTCCCCACTCTGTCGCTGGTGAATTCTCTCACCCTCCTGAGCATCTGGCCTGTACCCCGGTCCTTGTATAAATAAATAAATCTTCAAAAAAAAAAAAGAAACTTCACACAATTCTAGTCCTCAGTCTTCCAAGTGAGGTCCGTGCATTGTGGAGGAGAGATAGTCATGTCTGTTGTGTCCTGCTTGATTTCTGTCTATTTTGTATAAGTATTGTTATTATAGTATTACAGTCCCTTTTGCTTGTATGTAATGTCTTATTCCATCCTTCTACCTGAAGCTTATATGTGTCCTTAAAGCTGAAGTAACTCTTGTAGGGAATATATAGTTGGGGCCTGTTTTTTGTAGGCCAATTTAGCTACTCTGTCTTGTTTCATTAGAAAATTTAATCCACTTTATTTTAAGTAATCATTGACAGATAAGGACCAGTGTCATCTTACTAATTTTATTCTGCTTATTTTATAGTTTCTTTGTTCCTTTGTCCCTTTCTTCATTTGTGATTTGATTATTTTCTGTAGCGATGGTCTTTGATTTCCTCTATCTTTGGTGAATCTATTGTAGGATTTTGTTTTGTGGTTACCCAAAGCTAACTTGCAACATATTATAGATATTACAGTCTATTTTAAGCTGATACCAAGTTAACTTTAATCACATACAAAAACTCTTTACCTTGTTAC